AGGGTGGTGGTAGATCAGGCACAACAAACCACAGGGTGGTGGTAGATCAGGCACAACACACCAGAGGGTGGTGGTAGATCAGGCACAACAAACCACAGGGTGGTGGTAGATCAGGCACAACACACCAAAGGGTGGTGGTAGATCAGGCACAACACACCACAGGGTGGTGGTAGATCAGGCACAACACACCACAGGGTGGTGGTAGATCAGGCACAACAAACCAAAGGGTGGTGGTAGACCAGGCACAAACAAATGAGGTTGGTGGTAGTGGTAGACAGATACAACACCTTGTGCTAGACCAGGTACAGCACACCACAGGGTGGTGGTAGAGCAGACACAACACATCACATGGTTGTGGTAGAGTAAGCACAACCCAGGGTGGTGGCAGACCAGGCACAAAATAAGAGGTTGAGGGTAGTGGTATACAGATACAACACATAGTGGTAGGCCGCGCACAACACACCATAGGGTGATGCTAGACCAAGCACAACACACCACAGGGTGGTGGTAGACTAGGCACAACACACCACAGGGTGGTGGTAGACCAGGCACAACACACGACCCCAGAGGATTGTGGTAGACCAGACACAACACACCAGAAGGTTGTGGTAGACTTAAATTGGCACAACACAGAGTCGTTGTAATACACAGATACAACACACGGTGGTAGTCCAATCACTTAACAAGCACATAGATGACCAGATATACTAATGTATTTTTATGATAAATCTTTTATAATGATTGTGTTTTTGTTATTGTTGTTTGATTTGTCTCTGAGATGAGCTGTGTACATCAGTGTTGGCTATACCACTAGAAGTCAATCTGCACCAGAAATTTGCCCTCCATAGTTATATTTTTTGTGTGTATTGTTTTGTCAATCACATGAGAATCCAGGAATCCAGGAAAATCCCCCTCCCCTTTTTTTCCCCTTGTTTTTTTTTTTTTTTTTGTGAACCAGCATTTAGCTTATCGAGCCAATTTAATTCATATCGGGCTGGGGCAGAGCTAGAGCTATATTATGGTTATTTTTGCTAATTTTGGCGCTTGTCTCCCGCAGGTCTGAAATACCTCTCCAAAATCTGAAAGAAACACCAATTCAAGTATGCGCCAAAATGCACCTCTGTATTTTGAATTTAACAAGAAAATTCAAAGGCGACTCCTGCTCCCACTTTTGCTCGAGATTCTTCGGCAAACTCCATTTCTGCTCCCCCCCCTCCCCCAGGCCCATCAATGTGACAGTACGGGTTGAATCTAAGCTTGTGTAAAATGATTACCCTGGTGATTCCAGTTTATGAATCGCACTTTGCTCTATACTTCCCGATATAAATGACAGCATAGTCGCCAAGTTTAGTGCCAAGATATTTCCCACGCCCCCTTTCACGATACAAACTCTGCAGTTGTCCTAAAATTCCGTCCTCCCACATAAAGAAAACGAGACACCTGGGTGGTTAGCCTCTAGCGGGTACTAAGTAGCACGGCCGGCTCAAGGTACCGGTACCGGCCACTCGGGCAGTTTCCCGGGGCGCCATGTGCCTAGGGCGCCATCAACGTTCTTCCAAAATATTTTTAAAAAAAATTATTGCATGTGGGCACCATGGAAGAAAAATAGAAAGTGGAAATAAAAAGATTTGCTAAAGGCTAGAAATAAAAAAATGTCATCGGTAGGCTGATTGTTCATACTGACCAATCAACGACGCTGCTGGGCAGCCGTCCATGGCTGACATGTAAATAGTTCTTGAATGTGTGGAGTGAATATATATATATATATATATATATATTGTTTTATTTGATTAATGTGTGTTAATTTTTAGGTTCATGTTTATGTTTGTTAAATTGTACGTACAGCGTGGTGAGCCCAGCCCTAGGCTGGGGTACCGCGCTATATAAAAACACCAATAATAATTAGCCAATTTAACCTAATCCCCAGTATTTTTTCCTTGCTCAACTTTTTATGATTATTCTTTAAAGGGGCGCCAAAGTTAGCCTTGCATGGGGCGCCAGCAACCGTAGGGTGGGCCTCGCCGAGTACCCGTGGAAGCCCTTCCTAGCTGATATCAACTGCGGCCTGCGATTAACCAAGGGGCCCAGCAGTTCTAAAGTATTCCTGGTAGTTCCCGTTTCATAAGCGTATGTAACTTGTGGATTTTCTAATATGTAAATGTGTGACAGTCGAGTCTAGTCCATTAATTTCCGACAGACGACATGAATTCATCACTCCATAAACAAATCATAAGATTGTGTCGAATGTTTTCTTTCCTTTATGCGAAAGGCCGCACTCATTCTTGACATTTTACAGCAGCACCGCGGCAAAAAAAAAAAACCGCGGCAAAAAAAAAAAAAAAAAAATAGGCGGAGGAATACATAAGTGAGAAGTCTAAGAATAGATGAGCAGCCATTGTTCAATGTACCATTGGCGCGCATTTCAAACTTGAGCTCCCGAGGCAGATGAATCGATCGTACGGAACAATTTTTAGGTGGTTAGGACTTAAACTAGTTATTTTAAAAAATAACTAGTTAAGTCCTACCCACCCCAAAATTATTTAAAAAAATAACTATTTAAAAAAAATGAAATAAAACAATGAAACTATACTTAATACTATGTGTAATCAAATTCATTAAGATTATCCATATGATACGCGATTCTGTGAATCGTGTGAAATAAACGCTTGTTTGTCTTTTTCTGCCAGGCCGCCATATTCATCTGTGACTCACACTGAGTATATGAAAGCTTAGAAAGTCAAAGACTATAGTGGAAAATAAAGCAGTTATTTTTATAAGAGGCCTTTTAATATTACCAAAATTGTAAAATAAAATATCCTATTAGATAAAGCACGACACTCACCTATAATTAATGTATAATTATAAGCCTTAATCCTGTATCATTAGGACGACCCCCTTCCAAACTACCCCTTCCAAACTACCCCCTCCCCACAGAGTTAGGATATCGTGACATGGGCGCCCGCAGAAAACTTTCTAAGGGGGGGGGGGGGGAAACCGCTTAACTTTCCATTACTGTAGCGTATTTGTATGGTGAACGAACGGACAGGACATCAGCTTAGTTACTTTCTCTTTATTTTCTCTTTACTTTAATACATTTTTTGTCTATTTTTGTCTAAATTTTTTTAATCCAATCAATCCAGGGGGGGGGGCATGTGCCCCCCTTGCCTCCCCCCCATGTATCGTGATGATGGTAATGTGTTCTCCCAAACAGTGTTTAAATCAGTGTTTCTTTCAGGCATCTATCCAGTGGTGGGGGTGTGTGTCATTTCATGTTTTTTATTTAAGGGGGGGGGGCAAAAACCAAAACTTGGCCGCTTTTTGAGTTGTCTCTTACTGAAGGAGTCACGGTAAATAGCAATTTAAATAAAACCTGCAAATTCATTAGGAGGGCAAATGCCCCCACCCCCCTGCCCTACCCAGATCACGTCTGGGTGGCAGTGCCCCTACCCTGGGGGAAAGTCAAGTGCCCCCTCCCCCCGTAGAAAATGTGTACAACAATAAATCGAATACACCAAAAAAATTAAAAAAAAGAAGGACTGAATTGTCCAACCAAGTGGCCCTTCCCGCCACCCTTTCTACACCACTGCCCACACTAAGATCTGTAATGCCCCCCCCCCCCCCCAACACCCATGGAGAAAATTGAAAGAAACACTGAGTGTAATTCATTGACATATTGGGTCAGACGAGTACAACATGTTTTGAAAAAGCACGTCACTATGTGTTGACACAGCATCTTATCACCAAGTTGTCCTATAAGTATGGCTTTTGTCCTGTAAGTATTGTTTAGTATAAAAATGCTTCACTGGCAGACAAGTTTGTTTTAAATAACCCTCAAGGCTTATGGCCTAATTGGTATCGTTTAAACTCATTGACTAATGTACATTTTCTATGTGCTGAATGTGTTTTTCATAAACATGTATTTGGTGAGCTGTGTCACTGTACTGAGACCTGTACACAAATGATGCGATGTAAAGATGAACAAAGGCATTTGATCAGTTTGGTCCAACAACATTTATTTTGTTGTGAACAGTTGAAATATTTATTGATATTTACACATTTGTATTGAATTAAAATCTAAGATAATTTCTTCCATTCCTCATATACCTCCCAACATATGAGACAAGGAGCACCTATTCCAATAAAACATTATTTTGTTTCACTGACAATCAGACAAACATGCAAAAAAAAAAACATGACCAGAACAGTAGCCAGGGGATAGCCTGGTTGTGATGATAAACACAGGTCATGTTTGGAGCCCTCACACAAACTATAGCATGCAATTGCTATAATGTTGTCAGTATGAGGACCCTGAATTAAGAAGAAAAAATATTTTTTATTTAAAATGAAACAATCAGAGATGATAATGATGTGATTAATGATGAATGAATAAATAATTAGTAAATGAAAAGTAAGTGAAATGAGATTAAACTTAAATGTGTTATATGAGTATGACATAAATTATAATTTGATTAAAAAACGGTCACTAAATGAAGAATGCCATTTAGTGAATGCATATTAGTGAAGTTATGAAAGCATTGCCATTGTAGTTAGCTCAGGAATTATCCATGCTCAATGTTTGGCCGTTTTATCTATGAAACAACCAACAGTATCTTCCTAACTATATATCACTTGTTATTTAGGTAAACCTATTGCCTCATGCATTCATTAATATAATTTCAAGATAATAGAAACATGTTCCTTAACTTAAAGGGCAGAATACATACAGATAATCTCAGTAAAGTTCTTGCACTGCACAACTGCTAGCCTCGCCCTACTACAATTTTTAAAATACTAACAAAACAAGCACACACCCAAGTAATAGATTTTGTTGACAGCTTAAGTGACCCGTATTTTTTTCCCTTAAATCAACAACAAACTTATTTTTTTTTTGTTGTTGCTTATTTCAACAATAATATGCAGTTAGTAAGAGTTCTTCTTTAGATTTAAAACAACTTATTTCCTAACTGCAATCTTCAACTTAACAAGAGTAGTTTCCCATTTAATTGTAAACTAATTGTCATTAATAATTTTTGATCATCGGGGAAATTTTTTTGAAAAATAAAAATTTAACAAAACAAATGTACAAGTAGGCCTAATTGTGATAAAGTAATTGTGATAGCTCTTTTTGACTAAAAATTGGTATACAACACACACACATATATATATATACATTGAGATCAGTCTAATTGTGTTGATCCTTTTAACTGTTATGGGGGTAATCCATATAGTATAGGAAAGCACATCGCCTCACTGGTGTAAAGGCTAAATAACATTAAAAATAAAGGTGGGTTTTAGATTAACAATAACAAATTAGTTATAGTGGCATTATTGTTTGAACATAATCATATATTTGTCTGAAAATTTTATCAGAATTTAAAGTATGGTAATTGCTTTCTAAATCAGTAGGCTACTTCATTATTTTAATGGAAGTTTGTTTTCTGGTCTAAAAAAAGAAGAATAAAATGCTCACAGTAAAACTGGAGGTTACCATGTGAAATAATATATGGATGACCCCCAATGGTCAGTTTGGTTTTATAGCAACATTTCTGAATTTATTTACCCATTAGAATATTGACTTGAGGAAAAAAACACCAAAACCTTATGACATGCCATAATTTAAAAATTACACACTTTATTCTATAAAATACTTCAACATTTGTTCTTCTGCCTGTATCCCATATTGCCCTAAGCATTATTCTATTTTCCTAAAGCAAATCTTAATCGTTAAATGATTCAAAACAAGATAATTAAAATAGGCTTAACTAAAATTAAACAACCTGTTCCATCAACAATACACTAACATTGAATTACAGCCATTGAAGTGATCACAAACAGTGAAATACATCCCTTAGAAGATCACAAAAAAAATATTTGGAATTGCACCCTTGTAACAACGCACACATTTCTATATCAGATATTGTAGATGCAAGCTTTACAATTAAAGCTGTTGAACCCGATTTAAACATATTCTGACAGAGAAATGGAATAAAAGCTTTAAACCATTTTTAATTAAAATTTTTGAACATTGCAGCAAACAAGATTTTCCGGTTTCAACGCAGGGCGTACAGATCTTTATTGCATACATCCATATAAATCTTTCGAGCCCAAAGCTAATTATAAAGCCCTACATTCTTTGAGCCTTTTCCTTTTTTTTTTGCTAGATGCTAGATCAGAAATCTGTGTACCTTCTTGATTTGATTTTTAAAACTAACAAAGCACAAAAATGACAGCTGCTGGGCGTCATAACCTTAAATTTCATTTTTTAAAAAATCAAAACAAAACAACTCATCTTGAATAAAGCAAGATGCCCACAAAATAATTTCTTCAAGTTGTATATTAGCTCATATGAATTAATCCTGTCATGATAAACATTCTCAGCAGAACTGAGCGGCTGAACATAAGGCATACAGGAAAGACAATGTTAAAACCAAAGCCCAACAAACTGACACTGCCATTGTAAGTTTTAAGTACAGTCCAACAAATACTTTTCTATCTGATGGCAAGCTTTTAGAGTAGACTCTCAGTAGTCTCAGCTGGCCAAAACCTTTAAAAACAGCACACAATTTTAAATAAAAATGTTTTAAAACCCAATAAATTTTAGTAGTGACCATGAAAAAGACTTCAAGAGTTCATCAATTATTATTTTGGTTACTTTTATATCAAATAAGTTAACATTTTTATAGAGATAAAATAAATTCATAACCCTATAACCGTTATAAACCAACTTTTTTTTTTTTTAATGGCTAAAATTATACTTAAAAATTTTTTTTCTTGAAAAGCTTTTGTACAACATGTGGTATATTTGTAAAGAAATCCTTTTAGGTTGGAAAATGTTCGGTTTTATTTGTGGAGAAGAACAACAGCCTAGCAACACAGATTAAGAAGTTGAAATAAATATGAATTCTCTTTCAGCTAAATGTGAACTTGTAATACCAGGATAGCGAGTACCCAAAAACCACAAAAAGCTTGGTTGCCATTCTTCTAGGTTTGCAACCTCTGGGAGTAAAACCTCCAGAAAATACCATGCAGCCTAAACTGACAACTCTAGGGGTTCTGGCAACCCCAGGGGGCTCCCATAACACGATGGTGTTAAAATTATTCCAAGAGAGTAAGTCAGTGTTGGATTATATTATTTTATATATAGATCAATGTGAATTTATTGCCAACATATTTCTCACAGCAAAATGATCTAAAATTTAATATTCTTAGGCTGCCCATACGGTATAAAGTTGAAATGGAAATATTGTTAACGTTTTTTCTGAAAGTTGTCCAGTAGGTTAAATTAAGACATGGTGTTAATTTTTTCAAATTGTTTTATCATGGCTCTCCAATGGTGTTATTTATTTGCATTAGATATTAGAAATCTATGTTTAGAAATTTATATAGGCCTAATTTTTGTTAGAAATGAAAATATGGTTTATAGAAAAGTGGTACTTGTTAGAACTTGTAATCAATAACTTTGTATTTGGTTTAAAGAAGTTGAAATGAAATACACTTCTGAAATTAAATTTTCTTCAGCAAACATTTTATGTGTGCGAGTTTATCTTTACAAATATTTAGTGCTTTTCTGATGAAGCTGATATCACTGCTTTAATACACTTTGTATCTTTTATATAAATCATCAGATGGACAATATACTGATCAAGGATTTGAAGTCAACTGCTGTAAGCAGTGCTAATCTTTGTCCTTTGAAAACATCTCATATTATCACATTTCCCTCCCCCATGGGGTCCCTACACTGCCTGTTGTGCTTATTTACTTTACATTGAGCTAAATTTCAAATTTGCTGAAATGGTGGAAGGATTATGCAATCTATCACCAAGTTGAGTTCTTGGACATACACCTTTACATTAAATGTACTTGAACTGGATATCTAATCCAAATTTGTGTTTTAAAAATTTTTCTAGTCTAAGATTTTAAATTTTCTTTAAGATCAGTTTCGAATAAGGTCAAAAAGATTGCATTCTCTCAGATTAACCTGATTATTGAAAAAAATCAATCAGAAGATGGCTATATTAATATTATGTAAAGCAAATTTGTTGAGAATACATTTCACCATTCCTTTTAATTGTAATGGTAAATTAATAAAAGAGAAAAAAACAACCCATCCCAAAAAGGAGCCAAATCTTGAGGCAAGTACATACAGCTTATTCTGAAGAATGCTGCTCTCATTAAAAGATGGACAAAGAAATTATGAGTTGCACATTATTCTAACCTTTTAACCAGGCATATTGTTGGTATGAACATTTTTGGTTCTCTCTCTGTTGGTGGCAGCTTGCAAAATTATACAATGTAGAATATTAGTGTAAACTGGTATATCTGCATCCTATTAGGATTTAAATTGAGATGAGAATATTTCTAGTGTCATTGCTCATTTATTAGATTCTATTGTTTATGAACTGCTATATTTTGGTGAGCACTGAATAAGTTTTCATTTTGTAAAATGCATTAATATTTTTTATTACTCATACATTTTCAGCAAATACATTATTATTCTTTTGTAGAGACATTTCAAATGAAGTTTCTGGTTTTTTTTAGCCCTGTGTAAAAGACTAAAATGTGCAAGTCTGCTCTCTCATATCTCAACTAAATGTAACAAAATATTATGTTACAATTCAACCAACATCTCCCATAATTTTACCATCTCTTATTTTATTATTGCCAATGAATAAATTGCCGGTAAAACTTTCAGCCAAACATTCAACAGTTGACCTTTTATGCTAAGTTAAGAGGTAATGTATGGAGAAAGACATTGATAGCATTAAAAAAAAAAAAAATTTAATGGAAAAGTCACTGTCTGATAGTTGATCAGAAGGCACACTTTGCAGTAGTTGATCAAGCTAACTATGATTATCTCCCATTAAATTTAGGTGAAACCATCCCCGTGTCCTTGCTCATGTATCAAATTAACTTTTGAACTGACGTCTAACTAGCCAGGATTCAGCATGGAAAACGCCAAATCTGTTCATACTTTTGTTTATTATTTATCACAGATATAAGTCATCATGAGAACGCCATACGTAACAGCTGTTACAACCAGCAGTCATGCAAATACACAAACGCACCATTAAGTGGATCAGTAACAATCAAAATACATTATTGGAAAGTTGAGTTGTTAAAGCTGTGCGGTATCCTAAAATTATTGATTGTTCAAAACTAAGACCTTTGAATGGGACAAATGAAAGCCAACTGAAAGAAATCAAGAAATCTGATGCTCAGGTAAGCCATTTAAAATAATAAAATTGGCTTCTTTAAATTAATGGTTTCCACAGTCCCATCAGATAATCTTTCAACTATCATAATACTCTAAAGTAGTAGACACCTTATTATAAATTGTTCATTGCTTATAAAGGTTAAGTTTAAAAAAAAAATGTATTGCTTCTAGATACATCAAACTTTGTCCGCTCTCCTACGTAAAAAACCAAGAGATGTGAAACACTCTTCACAATAAAGGAGTAAGGGAGATGCAAGCCACGCAAATTTGGAGAGAGGGAGATGTGAACATCTCTCAAGAGAGGGAGACATGGAGTTGAGAAGGATGATGATTAAACCCTAATGATTGCACGGACAAAGAAAACAAATAAAGACAACGCACAGCTTCACAACTGCAGCTAATAACTTAACCACTACATGTATGTACATATACACCAGTTCAAATCTAACCAGTACATGTATGTACATACACCAGTTCAGTGCTAGCCACTATTGTACACCAGTTCAGTGATAAATCTACAAATCATACACACAACTGTAACATGTCAAGTCCCACTGACTGACCCAAATTTAGTTATTCTCCAAACATTTTATAATATCTTGGAGCTTTAAATAAAATCCAATATAAGGTCCCCCCCACCCCCATTATTTAGCCACAGATCTCTTACTGTACAACATTCACATGCAATCTGTCAGCCAATACATCAAATTCCAAATTGCATTTAAGAAATCAGCATTCATGTTTCCCAGCAATCAGAGATTAGGGAGTCATGAGCACTTTGGAATGAACTAAGAACTCCATCCTAAGATGCAAATCAGACACATCGTAACAGACATTCTATTCAAAACTCTCTCAGCTGCCATTCAGAGAAATTACCTTAGTTACTTGATTGGACACCTTCCAGTTTAGGTCATGATAATCCTGATAAGTAGCTGAAGAGAAATTGCGCAGAACTTGGTCAAATATCAGGCCAATGGACTGATACAACAATATGGCATTGATACAAAAAAAAAAAAAAAAAATTGCTGCATGACCATTGCCAATTTTTTAAGTCTAAGCACCACACTCGTCCTAAAGGCATGACATGCCCCGAGCGCCTCATGCTGCCTACGTCGCTGCCGCGCAAGCACGGACTGTGGAACGCTGAATGATGGGAGGCGGGGGGAACCCATAGCCAATTGGAAAAAAATCACAGCTTTGTTGTTGAAATATAAAATTCAGATAAGGGGCGGTTAAAAAAAATCAATGTCCCATTGACTGGGCAGGCATAGTTCACGACCTATCCACTTCTTACTATCTGGGCAGGCATAGTTCACGACCTATCCACTTCTTACTATTTCTTAACAATAATACACCAATACTGATCTGAGATGGTAAATGCACATTGGATGCATACAATTCTGATATCAGTAACAATTATGACACTTTGAAATTTTGGATTTACTTGTTCAAGCAAAATGTCCATTTGCAACTTTTAACCCCTGATAGTTTAAAATATAATACCCATGAGACAAACAGAGAATGGATATTAGCTATCTACAACATAAGACTTTACAATGGGAACAATGTCCCTTTTACAATGTGATAAAAATTCATGTATTCATTAGTATTTTTTTTTTTTAAAAGAGGGGTTTTGAATTTAAAAATATTCAGACACATTTGCATTCACTCACTTTACATGACATCAAATGTAAATATTTTTTTTATGTTTAAGCTTTGCTAAAAATTCACAAATCTGACATTTGTATATTGTAACTATAATTATGATATAGAAACATACAACATAAACAAAATAATCAATTCAGCTCCACATCAATGCTACATTACTCCATGACAGTAAACCTTGTGGGGTCAAGCTTCTTGTCCTCAGTGCTTTAAGAATGAGCAAGCATGTCTCGTATTAATCCTGTACAACAGTAGCCAGTTGTAATCCAATCCAGGTGTGGAAGCTAGGTCCACGACATTGAGCCACTATCTTTTAATAGTAACAAATAGAAAAAACCGTAGAACAACACAGACATCCGATACTGCGCAAACAGCTGCAAGCAAGCAATCTGAGCGAGTAGGGCAGCTAAAGATCAAAGATTTGACACTCCGCTGGATACTCCAGAATCATCGGAAAAGTTGTTACTGTAGCGGCGGTGGTCTGGGCTGCCGTCGCTGCCGAGACTCTCAACACTGCAACGGTCATCACTATCACTCTGGAAGCCACCGATGATATCAATTTCATCTGGTGAAACAAGAAAGTTATAATAAATACCTGTTTCATTTCAATAAAAATTCTCTAAAAAAATTAGCAACATTTTGAAATGAACTCCAGCAAACTAGCGCTACTTTGGGAGGAGGTTAACAATGAGTTTAAAATTCCAGCCACTCAAGTTTGTAGAAATCAGCCGACTTTACAAGACATACAAATCGGCCCTCTACGCTACTCCGACAAATTAGCAAAAAAACTCTGTTTCAAATTATAAGAAATGAAATTGGTTTGAATTTTTAATGTAGGATTCAAGATAATAATTTAAAGCTTAAAAATATTTTTATTTTAACGAAAAGAAAAATTTTGAAAAGTCTCAAAACTTAAACTAACCGGATTCTTCAGATTTTATTGATGAGGTCGATGATAATGATGACGATGAAGAATTGGTTGAAGTACTGCATTCACTTATGCTACGTTCTTGACGCGTGCGATAGAGGTTGTGGTTATTATTTAGCTGATTGAGTTGTTCCAGCCTGCGTCGTAGATGTCTGTTTTCTCGTTCTAGTTGATCTCGCAAGAGGAGAGCCTTTCTCTCTTTTTCCTCAAGATTCTGAAATCAAACAAATGAATACTGCTGAAATGAATACCCGTAACAGGAAAATTATTTGTCCGACTCTGGTCTCCATAAAAAAAAATATTGTTATAAACACGTTAGAATAAAAATCAATAGTTGCTATAAATATGTTACAATAAAATTAGCATAAAAATTTAGGGTCAAATCTTTTTAAAGTGTTTGACTTTTTACTCTCCATAATTATCCATGATGTACGTTAAACTTATGGACCACAAAATGCAACATCAGCTAACCTTAATAAATGATCGTGCTTTTGTTAAAAGACCTAATGTGGTGTGGCGTGATGAGTCAACTCCCAGGGGGACAAGATCTTTTAACCTCTCCAAGCAGTGTCTCAAGTGAGCTCGCCTGTGGACACAATCAAGAAATCCAACATAAGAATTACTTTGTGAGTTCTAGAGATTATTTTCATATTTAAAATACCCGGTATATCCACAAGTGATGAAAGAAAATAAATCAACTATTAGATTAAATGAACATCTTTTAATATTGATATTTCTGAATCATCTATTTTTCCAATAATTATTTTATGTTGAGCTTAAAGGGCACACAAATGTGGCCAGGAATTTCAAACAATTTTCAAAACAAACTTTCATAAGGTTTTAGCTGACCAATTTAAATGTATCATGAATTTAAATCATGCATGATTTGGCCATTTCACATCTATTTTGTATTTAGATTTGTGTCACAGCTTAGGTTTGAATTTTGATCATACTCTGGTCCTTGCCAGATCGAATAGGAATGCCATATGACATTTTGCTGATAAAGCATTTCATCAAATACCACCACAATAGACATTACTGTTAGATATGATAACAGACTGAGACAGCATTCCATAGTGTGAGCTCCATGTACACAATTGTAAACAGAGATAATAGCTTAACTGATAAGATAAAAAAAACAACAAAACAGTATATAAGGGCTAGGCTTCTTGGTTAAATCACAGAATCTAGGCTAAACCTTTTGATTATGATTTCATCGCCTTGGGGTTCTTTCCTCAGTAAATACAATAATTAATGGTTATAAATAAAATTCTTTTCCTTGTAAATTTTTAAATCCAAAAACGGGACCGAGTTATAAAAGTATTTTTAAATGATAATTATATTTAAAAAAATGCTCAAAATTTAGCAAAACATTTCCCAAGTGTCCAGAATTCTCTCCAAATATTTCCTAAGTGACTGAAGACCAGAATTCTTACAATATCATTCATCTTATGTCAAAGACAAAGTCCTAAAAGCTGTTTCTGTATAACTGCCTAATATTTTGAAATGTATAATTGGGGGGGGGGGGGGCGCTTGAGATCTGGTTGTGCAATAGGAAACAAATTATTTTGAATGATTGTAATTGTAGTGGGCAGTGGGTATAATATTAACAATATGGAATGTAACTTTGAGACCCTCCTCGTTCTAATTATAAGTCTTCTCTATCATTGTGGATGGTGCATGCCATAGTTACAGAATTTTTGACCAAGTAAGATCATTGCAGTGTATGATTGTTAACCCCAATATTTAGTCATGTCCAATATGCCAAGTTGCTAAGCTTATCCGCTAAGTTTTCCCCACAGATTAAAAAAATTAAGGAGCTCTTTTTTTTAACAAAAATTGAAACTATCGTCAGATTAAATTGAGACGTTACAATCCTAAATTAGATTATACAGCCAGGTAAGAGCACAAAATAAAATTTAAATTGAAAGATAAATAATAACTTTTTATTTATTACTGAAAATAATGCTGGCTTACAACCCCCCCCCCCCAAAAAAAAAACAACAAAAAAACAAACAAAAAACAAAAAAAAACACACAAACGCCATGACTCAACATTCTTACAAAAAGTTAATATTACAAATTACAAGTCTTTTGTGTTCCAGAAAATTTCAATGCATGAAAAATGTTAATAACAAAACATGCATTGCTGGGAGCTGGAATTGTAGTAGTCGGAATTCAAATCTGCAAGGGCCTGTCAATCTGGGGTTGCATAACTTAAGTGGGTTGTGCATATTAAATGGGCTTGCATATGCTTAACTGGGATGTCGATAGTATTGGTGTTTTTTCAAGAGACCTGCAGCTGGTGTTGCCACACAGCAATCATCTGGCGATAACAAGGGCTGTGCATGCACTAGGCATGTAGGTCAAGGTTGTAGCCATTCAAGCTCAACAACAACCTCGCCCGCCTGCTGCCAGGCCAGCTAGTTGTGCACAGCGCACCTAACCTGCTACTAGCCGTGCCAGTGCAAAGAGTTGTCGATGCACTGTAACGTCTCAAAAGTTTTGCCGAAACCGTTTTTATTTCACGTCATCTTCCCCGCCCATGACGTGTATAGAAGTGAAACACCACTGCCTGCCTTAAGAAAATCATAATATTTACCTATCTGCCCATCTATCCACTGAAAATCGAGATGCTTACTTTTTTTTTTTTGATAGGGGGGGGGGTGCAGATTGGAGGACGGTGGTGGTATATTATATATCTTAACGCACTTACTTTTGCAAAGAAAATCATAATATTTACCTATCTGCCCATCTATCCACTGAAAATCGAGATGCTTACTTTTTTTTTTTTTGAGAGGGGGGGGGGTGCAGATTGGAGGACGGTGGTGGTATATTATATATCTTAACGCACTTACTTTTGCACTTAAAATGAATATGCAAAGTTGAACTACTTGCGATTCCTTGAGAAAGCATGAATTACGTGAGCTATTGTGGTAACTGTCACTATAACGGATTGTGTTCAAGGCCCCCCCCCCCATCTCCCCATAGAACAGAAGGCAAGCTTGACAGGTAAAACACAGTTTTCACCAATCAGGAGTTCTCATCAAGTATAAATACTTTTCATTTTTCGAAAGCATTTCGGGATACATTTCCCTGACGGGCTTTGGAGAACAATTTGGGGTGGGGGGGGGTGAAACAAGTAGGCCCCTAATAACTGAAGGGGGTCGATCCAAAGCAAGGATAGAAGAATAGCAGCGGACAGAACACAACAACCCACTGATGGAGGATGCATTTACATTGTAAAACAACTTCCCACAATAGAACTCTGATTATTAAGCCCCTGGTTGGTCAATATCCTAGTTTGGGCCCGTTTTGTTGGTCAATATCCTTTTTGAGCCCCTAGTTGTTGGTCAATATCCTAATTTGAGCCCAGAGTTGTTGGTCAATATCCTAGTTTGAGCCCCTAGTTGTTGGTCAATATCCAAGTTTGAGCCCCTAGTTGTTGGTCAATATCCAAGTTTGAGCCCCTAGTTGTTGGTCAATATCCAAGTTTGAGCCCCTAGTTGTTGGTCAATATCCTTTTTGAGCCCCTAGTTGTTGGTCAATATCCTAGTTTGAGCCCCTAGTTGTTGGTCAATATCCAAGTTTGAGCCCTTAGTTGTTGGTCAATATCCAAGTTTGAGCCCCTAGTTGTTGGTCAATATCCTTTTTGAGCCCCTAGTTGTTGGTCAATATCCTAGTTTGAGCCCCTAGTTGTTGGTCAATATCCTAGTTTGAGCCCCTAGTTGTTGGTCAATATCCTAGTTTGAGCCCCTAGTTGTTGGTCACTATCCTAGTTTGAGCCCCCAGTTGTTGGTCACTATCCTAGTACGAGTCAATACCGTGTCAGCTCTAGGCCTACGTTAAACATAGTGTACATATAAACACTGCAACACACCTTACAAGTCTACCAAAGTTTTAACATCGATGAGATTGGAGTAGGGAGAACTACAGCACTAGTTTGTAAGGAAGTAAACACACACGCCTGCCTTTGTGACAAACACACACACGCCTGTCTTTGTGACAAACACACACACACGCCTGTCTTTGTGGTGTGCATCAAATCAAAAGGGCGGTCCTAGTTATGATGCTATATTTAGATTGGATCATAAAGACCCGCCCTTTCTGGTGCCCCAAAAGCTTCATTTACATTGTCTTTAAACTTCCACCAAACATCTAGACCCTCACGATGTTTTGTGTTCACCAGGGAGAGTATGAAGGTTTTAATACTAAATGTCCTTAGGTATATGATGCATCACCCGTGACCCGAGACCTGTCTTTTGTTGATATCTTAAATGTAAACAAAGCATCAACTATGAGTCATCGCTCGGTCGTAAACCAGAATATATAAAATACACCCCCACCCCCAATGTTCTGTACACCCCCCCCTTTTTTTTCCCCCTCCTCTCCACCCCCCACCCGCCCCTCTCCCCTAACTGGGCTAGAAACAGAGCGTATTTACTTCTGAGGTCAACCAAGCCGCTATTCCCGGGAGTTTGAGGCCAGGCCTTGCTGTAACAGTTATGTGTAAGAGCTGGTTTTGTCCTGGGCGCGAGGGCAACACCGCTGGTAGAGCCGAGGAGAAATCTCGCTTTGTCCTCACGGGGGCGGCCACAACAACGTCAAGTTCAGGCAACATGGCGATGCATGATATATTTGATACGTTCAAAACATATGTCACTGATGCCTTGATACGTTTTATGAAGGATATGTGCACTTAAGGATTTACCATAACGATATCCACCATCTAACTCCAACTACTCCAAGACCAACGTTACAGAATGGTGAAATGGAAATCACAACTAGGTAGCACTAGCTATACAAAAAAAATTTGAACTGGTTTGGGTGAGAGGAGAGGGGGGGGGGACATCAGATAGCACTGTATAATATGAACTTAGACTCTACTACATACAATATACTATTAGGCTTCACGCCAAACTTCCAGCGCTGAATGTACTATAGACCATAACAACACTCAGGTCAAATAGGGCAGTTAAAAGATCATATCCTTTGAAGTCAAAACGAGGCAGATCCTTATACCTAACAACTTACTAGAGTAAAAACACGAAGGAGGGAACAGCTCAAAGTAAATAGTAAAGTGGTCTCACTTTAGCATCTTTTACAGTATTTCACACATTATATTAGCAGATTTTAAAGTATATCCTACAATATCACATGCCACACTATATTAAGTATATTAGCATGTTATAAAGAATATATTTAAAAAAAAAAAATGAAATGTATTATATCTTCATACTTTACCTTTCAAGCGAAAAACTATATCCATAATTTAAAATTAGTTTTAATCCATGGATTTCAAGTACTCCATTTAGTTATCCATATGAAATATTTCACAACATTACATTATAACTATTATAACACTTTATTGTAAAAAAAAAACTAAAACACAATTATTCTTACCTGTTTTTTTCCAATTCATTATGCGTTGATCTGTTAGGAAAATGAAATAATTATAGTATAAATATATATAAATAATTGATAGATATGCGAACCACATGGCATTATCATTTTATCATATTAATAAACTAAATTGACCAAATTGAATCGCCTTGTAAACATTGAAAAACTTGATCATGTGACTTGCAGCCATTAGGATAGAAAAATAAAATCTCGCCGAATCCTCGGTTTTTAAAAACAACAAGGAAGCGCCACTCGTGACCTACATTGTTGAACATTTGGTAAATAAATAAGAGTTTCGCGCAGAGATGCGAGGACGGCCTACCTGTTGCCTTGTGTTTTCTTGGATTTCGACCTCCTTTTGGAGGGATTATAACTATACTCATCTGGCATCGGTAACGTGGATGCGTAGCCATGTTCCGCTTCTGTAAAAAGAAAACAATTTTTAACCTTAAAGTTAGGCGCGCCATGACCTACGTCTTAGTCAGCCATGATGTATAACATTTCAAAACAAATTTGTAAACACGTCACAGTCATTTCATTTTTTTTTTTTTTAACTTCGGTCCTCGACCTTAAACTCGAAGATGGTTTCTTTAGCGAGTGAATCTCCTTTGTTAAAACCACAAACATTTTTGTTTAGTCAAAGCTAGGCGAGCGTAATTTGCCAAACTATTATATTGTGTTTATGTCAGCCAGTTATAACTTCATAACCTGCCCTAGATGACGAATCCACAACATTGAGTTTGAGAAAAAAACAACCATAAAATCACAAATGCCCTCTACCTCTGTCTCGCCTTTCGATAAACTCAGCCGCTTGTAGAAGCTGCTCGATACTGTGCATCTTAAAAGAATATTTTGTCGAGTTGGAAATAAAATCTTAACACTAATAACGGTTTCCGAAGTCCGTGGCGAGTTGGTGTCCTCTCCTTATCTGACGTGAACCTAACTAAACTCACGTTATGTCGAGCTAGGCTAAATGAAACAACCAGCCTGCAAATGTTTACAAAGGCAGTCGCATTTCAATGGTTGCTTTCGTCCAATCGCCGAGCCCGTTACATCTTCGTCCGGGTCGGTAGAAGAAAAAAAAAATGGCAGGGGGTGGGAGGTAGGCAGGCCACGTTACAATTACATTGCGCGAGTTGAAAGACGAGTGGCGGTGATGCCTTATGGCATCCAAGAAACAAAACAAAAAGTAATGTTGATATTTAGTAGAAGAGGATTCAGATTTAAGAGATTTAATAGTTTTTTAAGGCTGCATGATCAGGATGTTCGTAGACGGCTAGATTCTATACGTGCACATTATGTTGGAAGGAATGGCAACGCCGACACACGGTTGGCGGAGAGTTCCACGAGGGTTTGTTTACAAACAAGGCTGGCTGTAGCAACACAGCGAGGCGCAGGCGAGGCGCAGGACGTCGCGTGTGAAGTTGCTGACAAGGAGAAATATCGATTGACATGAGTGATTTCTCATTTCAACCCCTAGTGAACACGACGGGGCTCCGAGCAGTGGTCTGTAGAAACACAATTAACAGGATTATAACTAATGAAATCAATACATTTTTAGTGAGGGAGACGCCATAACGTGGACTTAAAGTGCCAACCGTTTATCGACTGTGTTGTTGCGATATGTGCGGCATCATCAGCGGCATTTGCTGTATACGGTCAAATTCCACACCAGTTTGCACGAAGTCACTGATCCACGACAAATAAATAATTATGTACACCTTAACTTATTTTGCATAAATATGGTCACGTGATGAAACTGAACCTTAAGTCCTCGGAGGTGTCATACGGAAGCTCGGCAAATGTGGATCTAAAAATGTTGATGTACAAAGGTGTTGAAGCTTGGGATTTAAATATTGCGTAATTTCAGCAACATGCGTGTATGTAAGTGATGAAACTGAACCTTAAGTCCTCGGAGGTGTCTTACGGAAGCTCGGCAAATGTGGATCTAAAAATGTTGATGTACAAATGTTTTGCAGCTTGGGATTTAAATATTGCGTCATTTCAGCAACATGCGTGTATGTATGGGGGGGGGGATGGAAAAAAAGGGGGGGTGTCCAAGATTTGTGATAGGGGGAGGGGGAATTTTCTAAAACAGCGTGATCTCCTTTATGGACTGCCTAGTACAGTGGTTCTCAACCTTCCTTAGTGCCGCGACCCTTTAATACAGTTTCTCTTGTCGTTGCGACCCCCAGCCACACAATTATTTTCGTTGCTTCTTCATAGCTCTAAGGATATGTGTTTTCAGATGGTATTAGGCGACCCCTGAAAAAGGGTCGCGCCTCACAGGTTGAGAACCGCTGGCCTAGCACAAGATACTTCTAATAATAGTGTTATGTAAATAAGAGTCACACTCATTAATAAACCACACATTTCTCTTGTTGTCTCGAATACTATACTGTCTATACTGCAGCTAAGTGATTTAAAAAAAAAAATGATTCTGATTTTGCTGTTGTTTGTTCACCGATGCAGGCTTTTTGCCGACACGTTCGTCTTTGTTGCGTTCTCCCCCCCCCCCCCCCCCCCGTTTTCCCATACTTTGTTTCACTCATTTCAACACTCAACCACACGACGCTCGATGTTTTGTTATTCTTTTGTCATCTTGTGGCGTCCAAAATAATTCGATAGCTTGCATAATTTAAACTGGCCCATGTATTACCACTGCTTGTGTGCCACTGTTAACATCCCGTGGAGTGCTGCTACACACCTAGTGGGGGAATTGAGACCCTCGCGACACAGCTTTCCCTTCCTCGTGACGCATGACATGCCCACTGTGTTGTTGGGAACGAGCGGTTCTAATCTTCTTTTCTCTTACACAACACCGAGAGTCGAACGTGACCTCCTTACACGTTCCGCTCAACATGCCACACGCAATTTGTCAGCGTGATCGAATCCCTTTCTTGCATTAGTTTCTATAAAACCATTTATTGACATTTTAAACCATGGGTGTCACATCGTGGGGTACACTTGATCAGTTTTTTTTTAGAGCTCCCGAAGGCCTCTCAAGTAAACCTATTTATAAACTGGTCTACGTGGGATGTTGTGAAGCTGATACACGGTACATGGCGTAAGTTGGTTGATACACGGTGCATGGCGTAAATTGGTTGATACGCGGTGTATGGCGTAAATAGGTTGTTGTGAATGGCGTAAGTTGGATAATACACGGTGCATGGCGTAAATTGGTTGATACACGGTACATGGTGTAAGTTGGTCGATACACGGTGCATGGCGTTAATTGGTTGATACACGGTGTATGGCGTAAATTGGATGATACACAGTGCATGGCGAAAATTGGTTGATACACGGTGTATGGCGTAAATAGGTTGTTGTGAATGGCGTAAGTTGGATAATACACGGTGCATGGCGTAAATTGGTTGATACACGGTACATGGTGTAAGTTGGTCGATACACGGTGCATGGCGTTAATTGGTTGATACACAGTGCATGGCGTAAATTGGTTGTTACATGATGTATACTTGAAATACTTATATGTGTATTGATTGAATACGGCTCCCTATTTCTCCTTTACATCCTCCACACAATCTCTTCATTACATCCTCCACACAATCTCTTCATTACATCCTCCACACAATCTCTTCATTACATCCTCCACACAATCTCTTCATTACATCCTCCACACAATCTCTTCATTACATTCTCCACACAATGTCTTCATTACATTCTCCACACAATGTCTTCATTACATCCTCCACACACTCTCTTTATTACATTCTCCACACAATCTCTTCATTACATCCTCCACACAATGTCTTCATTACATCTTCCACACAATCTCTTCATTACATCCTCCACACAATCTCTATTTTACATTCTCCACTTTCTTCCCCTTTTCAAAACCTCCCCTTATCCCACAAACCTTCCCATAGCCACATTGTTGTATGCTACATCACAACACACATACATATCGTGGTTCATGTACGGCTAGTTGTTACACACCAACAAACATACCAACGCACATGCATATCGAGGTCCCTGGACAGCCAGTTACATCATACCAACACGCACGCCGATCGACTCGCCTATAAAACCAGTTACAAACCAACAACATATGGACCATGACATAAGTAATATATATATATTATTCTAAAAATACACACATGAACTAATTTGTGATGAAATCGACGCTACGGATATTTATCTAAATGGAAGAACCAATGTAGATCCATAGGTCCATTTCACGGACTCCATAACATCGGATTATATTCGGGTATATTAGATGATAGAGCTTAAAAGCATCGTTACTACTATGTCATTAAATTGCTACCATTGCCTCCCAACTGGGAATTTGACAAATGTAGAGGATAACGTCACTGCAGGAGAAGAAATGCCACGTCAGCAAAAACACAATTGTAATATCTTGTATTTGGTGGTGATAAGCTACATCAGCAAACAAAATGATAACACATTGTAACATATGACATTTGGATGGACCGCACAGACCCACAGATGTGTCCTTTGCCTGGAGGCGCCACAGAGACCCACAGATGTGTCCTTTACATATTTTCAATCTTTTATCGTTATCGACCCCTGTTGAATTTTAGATTTTTATTTGTGTCTCAAAGTTGGAGAAGTATTTCACGAATCAAATTTCGGATAGGGTAGGGTGACCAAACGTCCCGTACAAACAGGATTGTCCCGTTTTTTCACGATCGTACCCGGTGTCCGGAAAAAGTCTCTCGGGACGCCTAAATGTCCCGTTTTTAAAACCAAACACATTTTCAAATCACTAAAACTTACTAATTTATAATATAACTTCAAGTAATATTTTGGCTAGCTGTGTAGCCAGCGCCAGTAGTGATGTGGCCTCGCGTGATGGCTCCAGTGTTCCCCCACTCCACCACTCTGCCGACGTTGCAAAATTATTGTTTTCGTTTATGATATGCCTCAGAGTTAAAATTAAATTTAAAAAGTGGAGTTAAATTTTAAAAGTCTCAAAATAGTTAAAATAAACATATTAAAAAAAAAATATATATATTTTTCTGCGGAGGCCCCAGAACTCCTCTTTAGCTGGAGGCAGAGGCGTAGCGAGAGTGTTTGGCGCTCGGGGACGAGATTCGCGCCCAGGGACAAGATCCATTTTAAAGCGCCCCCTTTTCTTTTTTTCATCTCTCAAACCCATTATTTTCATCAATAAAATAAGATCAAAGCACACTTTGGCGCCCCTAACTAACTGGCGCCCCGGCACATCTGCCCCCTTCGCTACGCCTGTGTTTGGAGGGTGTTCCCCCAAAACCTGGTTGGATGTGTCCCTTTTTTCCAGCTCATGATTTGGTCACCCTAGGATAGGGGCTTACAGGCCGACCACTTTACATTTAGTTAGCTCTATGACCTAGGACTTCGTCTTTGAGGCCAAGACTTCAACTCCAGCGGGATCAGTTGGACACTCTATTACGACTCCACAATTGTGCCTGATGACTCCGAGGTTAAAATAACAGCTCCAAGACCAACGCCCTCTTACTCCGACTCCACGTTTCCCCACTCCGTGGCTCCTCGTACAATGACGTCACCGAGGTGAGTCCTGCCGTCATGCTCGATATAGTTGCCACCTAAAATATGTTGTTTTCTGGTCTTGGGCCATACCATGACGTCACTCTTGTCAGTCCTCGCTGTAAGAGTACACGCCCTAGCCTCGTACTACGCCCTCTTTCAGGGCGCACAGAAGAATAAAAACAAATCCTTGGCCTAGGTGCATTCATTGAACTCTCTCGTGGACAAGCTTGCTGGAACGCACACACCGATAGAGAGAGAGAGAGAGAGAGAGAGAGAGCGAGAGAGAGAGAGAGCGAGAGAGAGATAGAGAGATGGGGACAGATATGGGGGAGGAGAATATGGGGAGCATAGGTCTAACAAATTAGTATAACACAAACTTGATTACATTATTTTAAAAGGAAATATCTACTACCTCTTTTCCACGACTGTGTTACATGTCTTATCTTTGAGATATTGCTATGGGTTAATTTCGCAAACCTA